GACAGGGCAAAACGTTGCTGTTTCCCCCGTCGGCGGGGAAGGTTTTGTGGGTGGCAGCCTGAAAAAAGTAACTTTTCTGAATTCCGCAGCCATGCCCTTCTGCTGGGGACACTGAGGCAGAACGTCCGGGTTAATGGGCAGAGTTGGTTTATAAAATCATGAAAGGTGTACAAGGATTTGGGCAAGGAGACATTTTCGAATAACTGAAGGCCACCCAAGACAGTTTTACTTGTGCACATTCCGGAGCAGCTTAAAAGAAAGTCCTTTTTCACACGCTTAATGCTGGAGTAGACCAGCATTGGAAGTAACGAGCAATCCAGACCCAATCAGGGTCAATAGGCAGATAAAAGCGCCTAAGTATACTCCCCTGATTTTTGCTAAATCTATGTGCGGATTGATACTCTTAGGTGGCTGGCCAGCTTCCTTCCTTCTCACTTTCTCAATGTCTCTGTAATTAATTCATACTTCTTTCTTCTTCCTCCTCTTTAGAGAAACAGCTGTTAGCAGATCATCATGCATAGAAGCCAGTATGTGGGGTTTCTTTATGTGTGTTGGGCTTTTCATCTCCTCCTGCACTATCCCTAAACTATTCCTTAAGGTTCGGGTTGGGGGTTTGTTTCGTGTGATGGGGGTGGAGACGGGGTATACCTAACATTCGTTTCCAAAGTGATTCATCATCCTCTTCAAACTGCAGAGATGGAAGAGGCGTTACGGATCATAGAGTCCGGCCCCGGTCCAGCTCCCAACCTCTGGCTCCACAGCCAGGGACCTAAACCCGCCACTCTTAGGCTTCTTGTAAAGTCAAATACAACTCATACCTCCTGTTCTTAAAAGTGACCTGGAAGCACATTTTATGTAGATGAAATAAATAAATGCATGGACTTAATCGATGCAGGATGTGAGGTTAATTGCGGGTTGTGGACTAGATGGATTCAGGGAGGCCCCGCAATGGTTGTAAGCTAAAGAGAGCCTCCATTTTTAGGAGCACGCTATCTGTATGTGCCAGGAAAAGGGGGGAAAAGGAACGACGGTTGGCTTCAGTGCTTTGCCAGTCAGCTTCTAGTTGGGCTTGGCCTGCTCATTCATCATTCTTTTCCTCCTCTTGCTTAATCTCTGTCATCTTTGCCACATTCTTGTCTGTCTTTGTGCTGCTAAAACCTCTGTCGTATTGATGTTTCCGCGGTGCCAGGCCGGCTGGTGTGCTGTCATTCCTCCCTGTCTCTGCCATCTATCATTTCGAGTGCTTATTCTGCTGCCTTTTCAGCTCGGCTCTGCTGTGCTTTTTCCTGCCCTGCCCCGGAGTTTCTGCCCCGACAGCCAGCTAGCAAAAAAATAAAATAAAATAAAAGGAGATGGAGGGAAACCAGAGGTGGGTCCAAACAGCAGCCAAGGAGAGAAGCGGGGAAAATTCCTTTTCGGCCCCATCGCTCCCCGGCGGCTGCGATGGTGTGACAGGCATTCTGCGTGGCTTGCCAACGGGTTCGCCTGCCCAGCCTTGGGTGCCACGCACAAGGAAAGCCTGGCAACGCCTCCACGCCCCTCCTTCGGGCGCCTCTGATTTTGCTGCCTCCTTTTCCGGACAAGCCTGGAATGCCGTTGGACCTGTTGGGGGTCAGAGAAACAGCCTCACTGCCCCCCCCACGCCCTGTCTGCAAGGCATCCTCACCGCTTACTCACCCAGGCGCCGATGGAGGGAGATGGCAGCACCTAGCTGTGGATTCCTTTGTCACCTTCCTTTTTTCCCCCCTTCCTGGCATCCATTGGGCTTGAAGAACCTTGTTTGATTTTTTTCCCCCTGCCCCATTGAACCCCCTTGACCTTTTCATTCAGGTCATCCCGCTGCGCCTTGAACGAAGAGGATGTTCCTGAGCATGTGCAGAGTGCACCACACCTCTGTCACAGCAGGTTCTGGTGCACCTCAAGTTGAGGAAGGAGGGTTTCCTTCAAGCGGGACCTGAAGGTTGACCCTCCAGATGTTGTGGGGCGGCCGCGAGCGTTGCCCCCCCAACCGGCCGAGTCCCTGATGGTTGTGCTCCAAAAACATCTGGGGGGGAAGCGCGCACTCTTTGCCCACCCTTGCCCTTCGGAAAGGAGCGTGGGCTCTCTCCCATCCCTGCCCACATGGGTGCCTTTTAACTTTCCTTTACAGCGGTTTGCCGCGGTCCTGCGTTCGAGAGGTGCCATCTCCGACTCAGCATCTGGGGAAGTTGCTTTCTCGCGCAGACCCATCTCATACTGGCAATGCTGGTTGGTGGGAGACTCCCCGAATCCCCGAAGGCATTTCCCACGCTCTGCTCTGAGTCCGTGGCACTTCACCACCATGATGGGCGCATCGTTACCCATGGACTTGTTGACATCTTCTGTCGCTTTTCCTTTTCAAAACCTGGGCTGACGTGGCCCGCAGTGACTTCCTCCTTTCTCCTTGCTTCCCTTTCTTTCTTCCATTGCAATTTGCTTTTCCTTTCAGCCTCCAAGCCGGCCGGCCAGCCTGCTTTCCTTGGCTTACCCCCTTCATTCACAGAGTCTAATCTTTATTTTTAAAAAATAGGCAACACAGGCCCCTTATAATAGTCAACTGCGCTTGCAGACCTCTGTGTTGATCTTGTGGGGAGCCATGGATCTGATCACTTGCAAACATTTTTAGAGGGGTAGCTGGGTCCAACTGTTCAAGAAAGGCCACCTTGACAGAGTCGTGCCTTGAAGACTACTCAGTTTTATCGGGCAGACGTTTTGGTGGGCAGACGGAGACCATGAGTTGGCCGCAGTTTGTAAAAATGGCAAGTTTTTTTCCCAATCGATTTAATGATTGTGGACCACTTTTGCCTCCCGTTTCTGCCACTGGGAGACGACACCTCTCGGAATGCTTCTGTTTGTAGGCAAAGAAATTTCTCACTTCTTTTCTTTAAGGCACCGTTGTCATTTCTAGGTTTCTGGGGTGTGAATCAGTTGTAACCACCCTTCTCTCTCTCTCTCTCTCTCAATTCTCCTCGTCCAGGATATCCCGTGGCCCAACCAGTCTACCCCATGGCTTCGCCACCTTACCCAGTGCCTCCGCCACAGTCCGTCCCCTCTGCGCCAAGCCCTGGGTTCAACGTCTATCCCAGTCCGGCCCCAGGACACGTCGTTCCCCCCCAGCCTCCCCCCCGGGGTATTCGAGAGCACGGGGCCATCCCTCCCCACCAACAAGCGACGGACCCCCATGCCGCCATCACCCCGTACATGCCTGTGGCCACCAACATCCCTCCTGGGTTGGAGTATCTCACCCAGGTAAGGCTCTGGAGGGGGTGGCAGGGAGAGAAAATGTCCCCCCCCCGCCTCATGTGGTGTCCGTCTGGGACCCTTCCCAAGTGAGACATCAAAGAGTCTCAAGAATGGATTCGCCGTTCGGCCCCTGCAGCTACTGGACCCCTTTTAAAGATGCTCCTGGCATGCATTTACCTTTAACGTGTGTCATGCGTGGGCCTCTCTTATTGGTTAGGAATTTCCTTTTAATGCAATTTCTCTCTGCTTTTGCGTTCTTCTTTCTCCTCAGGTGGACCAAGTGTTGATACACCAGAAAGTAGAGCTTGTAGAAGGTGAGGAGGCCAGTAAGAAAGGAAGACGCCTCTTAAGCCTTCTCTCTCATTTTGTTGCCCCGGACAAAGGATTGGGCTGGTGTTTTAAAGACCAGTTGCACAAAAATAAATCCTGGAGTTTCTGTCTACACAATTAGAGGCCCTGCTCCCCCCAAATTATGAATGGGAAAGCGGCTAAAATAGGTAGCTTTCTGACCCCCTCGCTTTCACCGTGGCAAAAGTGGCCTCTTTCCATCGTTGAAGGTGGAACTCGGTTGCAACCTAGGGCACAGTCTTAAAGAACAGGTGAGGTGGTGAGGGTGGAGGGGCCATTGGCCCACCCCTGTGGGGTGGGTGGGTGGGGCGAGGTCCTCAAATGGTAATCTGGCTTCTCTGAGCATCAGGCAGGAACACAAGCAGCCTTGAGGGTAGCCGTTGGCCACCTGGAATGGTGGCCGTGTGGGTCACGAGGCGGCCAAAAGCCGTAGCGGACGAGGGATCCTTTTGGATGGTCCGCTGGAGGGGGATCCGGGATTTAGGGCAGGCTGTAGGGTTTTTCTCAGTAAGGTTTTGCTTGATCTCGAGAATGGAGACGTGTCCCGGGTGGTTGACAGGATCCCTCACCGTGGCCACCTCCGTCTGCCTCCCCAAAAGTTTCTGAGTGGCACAGGCTTTAAGGAAGACAGGCAGCCGCCCACCAGGTCGCTTGGTGGCAGGGACTGAAAACGGCCACCGAGGTGGCCAAGGGTGAAGGTGGAAGGGCCACCGTGAGGTGTTGGTGATCCTTGGTGCCACAGGACATGGTTCTGGCATGCGGGGCAGCCAGGGGTGGACTGAGGCGTGTCTGTGACGACTGTGGCTCAGTCTGTGCCACGGTGGCCCTCGAATCGCTTTCCTTCCTTCCTTCCTTCCTAGCTTACATCGGCTTTGAAGGGAACAATAAGTACGAGGTGCGCAACAGCCTCGGGCAGCCCGTCTTCCACGCGGAGGAGCGGAACGACTGCTGTACGCGGAACTGCTGCGGCTCGCTGCGCCGCTTCTCCATGCGGCTGGACGACCCCGCGGGGCGCGAGGTCTTGCGGATGGTCCGGCCCCTGAAGTGCGTCAGCTGCTGGTTCCCGTGTTGCCTTCAGGAGGTCCGTCTCTCTCTCTCTCTCTCTCTCTCTCTCTCTCTCTCTCTCTCCTCTGGTCCTGCCGCCTTACAGTTTGGGCAGGTGGCTTTGGGGTGGGGACACTACAACTCCCACCCTCCCTGGCTAGTAAGGGCAGAAGGGATTCTGGGAACTGTAGGACACCCTCACATTTCCAAACCGGGGTGTGTGTGTGAATTCAGCTGAGTGGTCCTTAACTCAGCGCACAAAATAGATGCATTCACTTCCATTTCTGAATGTTAGACTGCTTTGCAATTCTGCTCTAACAAGACCCCTACGGTTCTAGCTCTTACTTAATTCTTTTCCTCCAAGGTTACTTTGCTGTTCTCTGCATGTTTTGTTTTAATTTCACAGATCGCTGTGTTTTGATCATTGTAAACCACCCAGAATAGTGCATGGCACAAATGAAGTGGTATATACATTTTAAGAAATAACAGCTTCCTTATTTTACACCGGATCTTTTGCCATGATACTTTTTTTTTACCAACTTGCAAACTGGTTGGGATCTTTCCAAATGCCACTTCTGTGCTTTTAAACTGGCACCCTGGTGTTTTTAAACTTGAGGACTAGAAACCTACTATTTTGGAACAGGACGGAATGTCACCCTTGTGCACCAAATCTGCAGGCGAGCGTTACACCGATTGATCCTTTGGTTCTGCCCGGTTCCAAAGTTACTGTGGGCCTTTTCTGATGTTGCTGCTGACTTAAGATTTGGAGGGTTCGATGGCAGCCCACGGCGATGGCTGCCAGGAAACTGTTTTAAAGTGGGTGGGAGAGATGGCACAGGGCCGTACGTGATAACTCTCTTCTTTTCTGCCCACAGCTAGAGGTGCAGTGCCCGCCCGGCACCACCATTGGCTACGTGGTACAGACGTGGCACCCCTTCACACCCAAGTTCTCCATTCAAAACGTCGAAAAGGAGACGATGCTACGGGTTTTGGGACCCTGCTTTGCCTTCAGCTGCGGCGGAGACGTGAACTTTGAGGTGCGGCAAAAGCGCAAGAGGAGGGACTTTTTAAAAAATATATATATATATATTATTCTGTTCCTTTTTGGGAACTCAAGTCGTTTGCCTTGCCCTGCCTCCCGGGAGGGTCAAACGACAGGGAACGTGAAACTCAGGCTGCGCATGCGCCGCCCAGCTGGACAGAGACCGTGGGCCTGGAAGGGAAGCCGGACGGGCACATGCGCATTGCGCGGAGACCGCGGGCCGACTTCCCTTCCCAGAGCTGGCCTCTGCCCATGCGCCCGGCCTATCCGCTGGGTGGTGGGTGCATGGAGAGAGGCAGTAACCGGCTCCTGGAGGGGAAGCTGGGCTGCAGATGATGATGAGGATGGCGGTGGCGGCAGGAGCAGACAAGGAGGCCCATCCCGAATAGGAACTCAAAAACATGACTTGGAAAAAATGGTTCCGAGTCGCGAGCCTTCTCCAAAAATACTGAAGTGGGAATTGACGGCATATTGTGACTTGTGGGTCCCTCTCCCTCCCCCCCACTGTCTCTTGCAGGTGAAAACCCGGGACGAATCGCGTGGCGTCGGACGCATCAGCAAACAGTGGGGCGGTCTCCTCAAGGAAGTCTTCACCGACACGGACAACTTTGGCATTAATTTCCCCATGGACCTGGACGTGAAGATGAAGGCGGTGCTCCTGGGAGCGTGTTTCCTCATTGTGAGTTTGGGGCAGGACCCCCTGCCGAATGCCTCTCCTTCCGTCCCAAGGAAGGGCGCTCATAAATTTGGATAAGAATCTGGAAGGTTCTCTTTTTTTGGGAGGGGGTGGGAAGTTTAAGAATCCGGAGCAGGCTTGGATGGCTGACTTTCTCTTTTACTTTAAGCGAGCCGTGTGTCCCATCAATTGATCTGGTGCTTTCGGTCCATTATAGAATGGAAATGCAGTCCAATATAGAAAGCAAAACAATGTACCGTATTTTTCTGTGTATAAGACTATACTTTTGTCTGAAACCTTTAGACTAAAAATTGAGGGTCGTCTTATACATGGAAGTAACCAAGGAGAGAACAAAAATAAGTGGAGGGGAAAGCAGGGATCAAAGTGATCCTGCAGTGCTTTAATCCGTTTCGCCCCACTTAGATTTCTTAATTTTGGATTAGAAAAGTGGGGGGGGGGAATTATACATGGGGGCGTCTTATAAATGGAAAATACGGTATTTTGCACTGAATACTTCTTCTTTGTCTACATGTATTGTTATTGTTCACATATGTGATGATCACTGGAATACTTCTTCTTTGTCTACATGTATTGTTGTTGTTAACATATGTGATGATCACTGCACATGAAAGACTAGCTAACAACTCCTGTCGATCACAGTGACAGATCGTCTCCCCTCCTTTATCAAAACATACACCCATAACAAAAAAACCACCCTGATCACCTAATCACCCAATGTCCTGAAAGGGATAAAAAGCTGATCTCACCGCTACAAATACGGTCCTGAAAGGGATAAAAAGCTGATCTCACTGCTACAAATACGTACTCAACTATCCCACATACTACACCAGAACACAGACAGAGTTCTGAAGATTCCGGCCACAGAGACTGGCAAAACGCTAGGAAGAAAAACCTTCAGGACATGGCCAAATAGCCCGAAAAAAACTACAACAGTCATCGGATCCTGGCCGTGAAAGCCTTCAAGAATACAGATCTGGTGCTTCTTGAGAGGAAGGGGACGGAATGGATGTTGACTTTTTTTCTTCCTTCTCTCCTTGGCAGGATTTCATGTTCTTTGAGAAGACAGGAGAAGTGGGACAAAGGAGTTCGGTGATGACGAGCTAGAAGCATCGCGGATCCTGGCTTTCCCCCTCCCGGCTGGACAGGGGAGGCTGTCCCTGTGGGCTTTGGGTTGTGTGCAAGGGGGAAGAGCGTGAGTGTGAGCGCGTGGGGGGGGTCCCTCTTCTCAATTCACCTGGTCGGTAGCTGCTGACTCTCAGATCCCTCTTTCCGTGAAGGCACAAGGATTGTCCCCAGGGGCCCGAGATGATTTGCATTTCCCCCCGCAGGTCCCCGGGAAGACCCACCGTGAGGTCAGTTATGCATAGGGACGTTCCGTGGGGCATAAACCCTACTGGAGTGGACTCCGTGTGTCCGTCTGCCCAACCTTGCAGTCTCTCATGATGCCAACAGGATTTTCCCATGCGGGTGCTCCTTCTGCCCCACTGCCAACTCAGGTCACCCACCTGGAACCCAAAACTCTACGGTCTCTCTGGACACAGCAGAGTTTTGAAGTCACTGCCCCGCGGATACAAAAGGTGGTACAGTCCTGCTTGCAGTTCAACAGAACTGAGAAATAATTTTCTTTTTACAGCCTCCTCCAGCCTGTAAGGCAATGCTGGCTGGGGGGATTCTGGGATTTGTAGTAAAAAGAAAACCCCCACAAAGTTTACATTTCTGAGCTTTGGGAAGCTGTCTTGGGAGAAATGCCTGGGTGTGTGGTGGAGGGTAAGAGTCTGGATCCGAACTCTTGTCTTCCATGCAAAGTGCCTTTCCTTATTTTGGATCATCCGGCATCACGAGTCATCTCATTATTTGGGATCCTTCGACTCTCCCCAGATATCATCTTCAGCGGGGGAGGGGGCTGGAGAGGTCTTTTTGAGGAAGAGCAGGAGGTGGGGAAGTTTGCTTCCACCTGGCAAATTGGGAGAGGTTTCAGACAGGCTCACTCCGATGGCGGAGGCACCGCTCCTTTCACATCGCTGGCCTCTCCTTCCCGCACAGACGGAGAGGATGATGAGCTGACATGGAAGTGCGAGGAGGTGGGCTTGTTTGCAGCTCTGGCTGAACCCCTGTTTCTCTCTGCTCAGTGGGCTGGTCTTGACTGGGCAAGGAGGGAAGATTTTGGTAGCCCTGCAGAAGTCAAAAGGGT